TATTAACGGATGATCAAAAGGAATTTCTAAATCTAGGGCCAAATTGCCATCTCCAGCCTAAATTCGCTCTTCTCACAAAGAAGACTGAAATTGAAATCTTACATCAATCATTATGTCAAATGGAAAAGGACAAATTAATAATACAGAAATTATATATATATATATATATATATATATATATATATATATATATTAAGAAATGGACAAGGTCCGACAATTTATTTATTAAAGACATTTTTTATGTTTAACGTTGTTATTTTATAGATACAAGTATTTAAGCAAATGCTGTTTATGATAATTTCTATGAAAATTTCTCGGACATTCAGGCCGGTAAATGTTATTTAATACTGTTTATCATAAACAGAGCATTTGCTTAAATACTTGTATCTATAAAATAACAAAGTTAAACATAAAAAATGTCTTTAATATATATATATATATATATATAAATTTACTTATCCAAAAATTATAACATAAACATGTTATAACATCACTACATAAATAGCCATTTTGTTTCAACACTTCTGGCGTCTTCTCAAGTGATGGTGTCGAAACAAAATGGCTATTTTTGTAGTGATGTTATAACATGTTTATGTTATAATTTTTGGATAAATATTATTTGCTGTACTCTGTATTGAGCACTTTTTAAGAATAGCGTTTTTGGTTATTGGAATTTTATTCCGTCTACACCAATCTTATACTTGGTCATATATATAAATATATATATGTGTGTGGTGGTGGTGGTGGTGGTGGTGTATGTGTGTGTGTGTGTGTGTGTGTGTTTTGTGACTGTGTCGGCCTCGTGATACATCTAAGCTTCGCTTAGCACATCATTATATATATATGTTTGTGTGTGTGTGTCGGCCTTTTGTCACACCAAGCTTAGCAAATCACTAGATATTATCATTATTATTATTATTATTATAAGAGATTATAATAAAAACATGCTGAAATCGCTTCACAAAACCTTTCATGTTTCAATACTATGATTGTTACTTCTTTAGGCGATGGTAAGTATATATATATATACATATATATATAGAGAGAGAGAAAGAAAGAAAGAAAGAAAAGAAAGAAAGAAAGAAAGAAAGAAAGAAAGAAAGAAAAGGTATAATGATCAAAAGGAAGAAACAACAAATAAAACAGAAAGAAAGAAAGAAAGAAAGAAAGAAAGAAAATAGAGAAAGAAAGAAAAATAGACCTAAAAGAAAGAATGAAAGACAGAAAATAGACTTAAAAGAAAGAAAGCAAGCAAGAAAGAAAGAAAGAAAGAAAGAAAGAAAGAAAGAAAGAAAGAAAGAAAGAAAGAAAGAAAGAAGAATAAAAGAAAGAAAGAAACAAAGAAACAAAGAAACAAAGAAACAAAGAAAAGGTATAATGATCAAAAGGAAGAAACAACAAATAAAACAGAAAGAAAAAAAGAAAGAAAGAAAGAAAGAAAGAAAGAAAGAAAGAAAGAAAGAAAGAAAAACCTAAAAGAAAGAAAATTAGACCTAAAAGAAAGAATGAAAGACAGAAAATAGACTTAAAAGAAAGAAAGAAAGAAAGAAAGAAACAAAGAAAGAAACAAAGAAAGAAACAAAGAAAGAAAGAAAGAAAAAAAGAAAGAAAGATACTGACTTGACAGTGGATGATGATGAAGTAAAAAGGAAAACGGAACTTAAAGAACAAGCTAGAAAAGTTGAAGCGAAAATGGACGATGGAATTGGCATGCTAAAAGATAAAAAAAAAGAAGAGAAAATGACTGGAATAAAATAAATAAATAAAAGGCAAAAGATAAACAAATGCGTGAAAAGTCCATACAAGGAAATAAAATTTAAATAGATTACGAAGAAACTCTGAATGTGTAAACAAAGATTGGTCGGGGGTAGGGAACAAAATAGAAAAACGTTTGCGAAGACAACAAATAGACGAGAAAAATGTCCAATGAAAGAAAGAAACAATCGGTGGGAGATTAAGAAAGATTCTTAGAACTAAAATAAGGACCAACGAACAATAAAAATAAATAAACGAAACGTCATCAGTAAATAAATTTAGGAAAAGCAAATATCTGAGTTTGTAAACATTCAGAAAAGCAAATCATGATCACGTGACACAATTCTTCATCGCCTTGTGGGCTGATTTTTTTGTTGTTATTTCTCGCCTAATTTTTCATTCAAGCAATTTTCTTGATTTCTCTTTTCAATCGTTTTTATTTCCTTTTTTTTATTTTTGCCCTTATTTTTTCCGCAGATCGTTCTCTTTCTTCAAGGCTATATTTATACACCCGTTTTTTTGTTGTTGTTTTTTTTTTTTCGAGTTTTCTTTTTCATTCTACCTTGCAATTTGCTTTTTCTTTTTTCTTCTTTTCTAATTTCATTCGTTTTTCTTATTCCGCCATTTTTTTTGTCTCTTTTTTTATCACTTTATAATTCCTTCCTTTTCTCTTAATAATTTTATTTGCTATTATTAATTAACCCTCACATTCTTTCTTTCTTTCTTTCTTTCTCTCTCTATTCATTTATAAAGGTTGATAAACCACAATCTTAATAATTATTAATCTAACATTGATTCTTTCTTTCTTTCTTTCTTTCTTTCTTTCTTTCTTTCTTTCTTTCTATTCATTTACAAGGGTTGATAAACCGTAATCTCATTCACAAGCAATCTAACATTGATTCTTTCTTTCTTCCTTTCTCCTTAAGTCTTTCTTTCTTTCTTTCTTTCTTTCTTTCTTTCTTTCTTTCTTTCCAAATGTTCTCTCTTTATCTTACTTTCTATTCATTTCTAAGGGTTCATAAACCGTTATCTTATTCACTCTTAATCTGATCTTGATTCTTTTTTCTCTCTCTTTATTTCTCTTTCTTTCTTTTTTCCTCATTTCTTACTTTCTTTTTTTTTCTTTTTTTCTATTCGATTATAAAGGTTGCTGAACCGTAATTTTATTCACTCTTAATCTATATTGATTCTTTCTTTCTCTCTCTCTCTCTCTCTCTCTCTCTCTCTTTCCTTCACTGTCTTTCTTTCTGTCTTTCTTTCTTTCTATTTATTTATAAGAGTTGATAAATCGTGATCTTATTTACAATCAATCTGACATTGATTTCTTCTTTCTTTCTTTCTTTCTCTTTCTTTCTTTCCGTCTTTTTTCTTTCCTTCTTACTTACTTTATTCATTTATTTATTTCCTTCTTTCTTTCTTTCTTTCTTTCTTTCTTTCCTAATGATCTCTTTTTTCTTTCTTTCTATTCATTTATAAGAGTTGATCAACCTTTATCTTATTCACTATTAATCTGACATTGATTCTTTCTTTCTTTCTTTCTTTCTTTTCTTTCTTCTTTTTTCTTTTTCTTTTCTTTTTCTTTTCTTTTTTTGGGCATCTTTTATTCCTCTCCAATCTTTCTTTGATTCAAATCTTTTCTTTCTTTCTTTCTTTCTTTCTTTCTTTCTTTCTTTCTTTCTTTCTATTCATTTATAAAAGTTGCTAAGGCGTAATCTTATTCACTATTAATCTATATGGTTTCTTTCTTTCTTTCTTTTTTCTCTCTTTCTATTCATTTATAAAAGTTGATGAACCGTATTCTTATTAACATTGATTCTTTCTTTCTCTCTTTCATTCTTTCTCTCTTTTTACTTTTTTCTTTCTCTCTTTCTTTCTTTCTTTCTGTCTGTCTGTCTTTCTATTCATTTATAAGGATTAATAACCCATCAACGTCAAATCTATTCATTTAATCTTTAATTGCTATTTTAGTAGGTGTCTATCTTACGTTCATTTTTTTCTTCTTTCTTTCTTACTTTCTATTTTGTTCGTTGCTTCTCCTTGTCTTTCACTAGACTTTTTTCTTTCTTTCCTTCTTATGACACATAGGCGACACATACCCCTCCCCGATTCATACTTGCTGAAGAAAAGCAACCAACATGTGGAAAATGCCAAGTTGCACTAATGGTGAAACACATTTTAACTGAATGTACTACATTAGCCACTGTAAGATACAAATACTACGAAGAAAACTATCATGAGAAAACTAGTTGAAAACACTGAAATTGACAACATAATATCCTTAAAAAAATAGGTTTATACTAAAGCATATAACATATACTTACCTGGTCCAGGGATTCGTCCCTGTGCTGGGAGTATCACGACTTTGACCAGCCTGGACCGGTTCTGAACAGTTTGGACCAGCTATGATAAGCTAAGACAAGCTATGACAAGCTTAGACCAGATCTGACCAGCTTGGACAAGCTATGACCAGCTAAGACAAGCTTAGACCAGCGGCCCGAGTGAAAACACTCGGGTCCCCACGTTAAAAACTGACCTTGTGTCACAACCTGACTCAGTGGGGTGTCAAGTAAATCTCTACTTACCTGGCCCAGGAATTCGTCCCTGTGCTATTGGTATCACGGCTACGACTAGCTTGGACCGACTCTGACCAGCTTGGGCCAGCTATGACAAGCCAAGACCAGCTTAAACCAGCGGCAAGAGTGAAGACTCTCGGGTCCCCATGTTAAAAAACTGACCTTGTGTCACAACCTGACTCAGTGAGGTGTCAAGTAAATCTCTACTTACCTGTCCCAGGTATCCGTCCCTATGCTAGTGGTGTCACGGCTACAACTAGCTTAGACAGGCTCTGACCAGCTTGGACCAGCTATGAAAAGCTAAGACCAGCTATGACTAGCTTAGACCAGCTCTGTCCAGCTTGGACAAGCTATGACCAGCTAAGACCAGCTTGGACCAGCAGCCTGAGTGAAAACACTCGTGTCCCCATGTTAAAAACTGACCTTGTGTCACAACCTGACTCAGTGGGGGTCAAGTAAATATCTACTAAAGTATATAACACCTACAACAGATCATGTACAAACTATATAACTACTATAGCAGTAAATAGCGGTCGAAGACGTGTCTTTCATTACTGGGAATTTTTGACATTCAATTGGAGCAGTTTAAGTTTAAAGTCAGCCCACCCAAAAAATCAATATTAGTGACAACAATTGGGTGCAACGTTTTGTATGAATGATTCGTTGTATTATAAATTTAACCGCACCCCATATTTGATTTAAAAGAACTGATCTGACGTACAAATTTTCGGGATAATAACTGAGACATTACTTTATTTATTGAACAATTTAGTTCATGCCACATTGACTGATAAACTCCTACAACAAAAAATTCTCAAATCGCCATAGTAGTAAAAAACGCACTCTCTTAAATTTTCAAAAAAATTCAACCTTAGCTTAGCGACTGCACGCTCCAAAAGTTTGTATCCGTTAATAATAACACATTTCTAAAAAAACATGTTTCCATTTGCATTTAATTTTTCGTCTCTGATGCTAGCTGGTTTTTACTAAAAACAAAATAATTTTCATGCATGAGGATGACTGAATATACAGTTGAAAGTACTAGCAGATAAAAAAAGATCTTATACAGCTCATAATTATCAAAAGCAAGGATCATAACATTCATCGAGTGATTTATAGGTTAATGAAACTTTAAAATTTTATTCGCGAAGTGATTTCGCCATTTTATATCATTAACTTTACTAATCTACTTTTTGTATGAATGATTCATTGTAATACATATATATATATATATATATATATATATATATATACGCGTAGAATATTTAGATTCATACTCTTAGGTGTCTAATAGAAAGGGGTCTTAATAATCGGGGAACCAGAATTTCTCTCAATCTTGAATAAACAGGATTGATTGTCGGAAAATAATTTAAAGAGCCAAAAAGTGCTAAGTTATTAAGGGGAGGGGGTAATACCTCGGTGAGTCGGAAAATTAGCTAGAAAAGAATAAACGTCCCCTCTCCCATTTAGTAGACACCTCTTCACGCTACAGGTTGCACGCAGTAAAAACGATAAATTATATGCAAGTACATAAGTTTTTCTTTTTTTTTTTTGAGGGGGGGATTTTTTTTGCTTTCTTTTTTGAAAAATTAAATTAAAAAAACAAACATTTAAATTGAAATAGGTATCTTGAATAGGAACTGGTTAGCTGGTTGTGTTTTGGTGTCGATTGTGTAATTTTATCTTTGTGTTACTGTTAGATTTATGGTGTTTGGGTACGAAGTCAAAACAGAGGATCATGGGAGAAAAAAAAAAAAGAAATGACGGAACGCCATCATGATAATGGCTGAGGGTCATAGTATGAATGGCGATGTCAGTAACGACAAGAAAATGGAGGGAAAAAATACAGAAAAATGGAGGGAACAAGCATGAGAAAGAAAGACACAAGAAAAAGAAAGACAGAAGACTAGGCGTGGAAGTAGATGTGAAGAATAAAAATAAAGTGGGGTAGAATTTTTTTTTTTTAAGTGAAAGAAAATAAATAAAAAATGTTGATTAATTGATTGATTGCTTTTCATCTGACGCGACGGCTTTTGGCATCTTTAATTCCAAAACAGTTTTTAACCATTCCTTAATTTCAATCAATTTTCACTTACCCTTTACTGACACTACCATTTGGTGGCGATGTTTTTCATGTTGAAAGTTGGTGAACACTATCAACTCTGCGGGAATCTATCTCCCCATTGTACAAAAAAAGTAGCTTTTATTTCAATAGAAGCTATATATATATATATATATATATAGCTATGAATTTAGATAAAATGGCAGCAGTAAAATGGCAACAGAAAAAATGGCAGGGTAAAAATGGCAACGGTAAAATGGTAAAGTGGGATAAATAGGTAAAAATGGCAAAATGGATAAATAAGAAAAAAATGGCAAAAGGAAAAGAAATATAGATGAATATCTCACAATGAGTTTATTAAAATCTTGGATACAATACATAATGGAAAAACATGAGAGAAGTTTGTCAAATTAAAAAGAATATTCAGCTAAAGCTTCCCCCTCCCATGAGATTTTACTTTTTAGGCGATTATGTCTGAACACACTGAAAAACTTGGGAAAAAACAATGATAGGTCCACTTGATGACGGCTTCCGGTATTGAAATCAGAAACCGACATTAAGCGGTGTTTATCGGAAAACAGTTCCTCGTCAGTTTTGTACACTTAGACTTGTTTTTTTTTTTTTTTTAATTTCACTAGTTTGAACACGTGGGAATCAGTAATGCAGCCGAATAAAAAAAACAATATATTGGATACATTATTACTATGGCGTTTAATAGATTTAAATTTAGTTGCATTTCTATTTATAAAAAAAACTATTAGACTATTTAAAAAATAGAATAAAGTATTTAAAAATGTTTTCAATATAAACTATTTAAAAAAGTATTTTCACACAAAAAGAAAACATTCTAATTATAAAAAATAATAAATAAACTATTTAAAAATATTTTCAAAGAAAATATTCCTATTATAAAAAAGTTTTTTTTATTATTTGTAAGAAAAAACATTCCAATTAAAAAAAAATGTTTTATTTGAATGGGATCCCTAACCTTCGCCTTTGCGATTTTTCCGATTCCCCGATTCCGATTAATCGTCCCAACACTAATATATATATATTTTATATATATATATATATATATATATATATATATATATATATACACTAATACAC